TAAAAATCGACCGTGAGATCGCGGTAAAACCGCGATATTCCCCAGCGCCAATTATTCACCTCTCTTGCCAGAAGCGTCTGAGCTGCTCTTGCCAGTATTCCATCCTCTCCCGAGCCTCCCATCTGGCGCGAGTTGCTGCTCGAATCCTGCTGCGAACTTCATCGCTACGGTCGGGAAGTTTGCAAAGGGCCGAGTGATGACCGGTTTGGGTGCAGTAGAAACATCTCTGAGTGTACTTGGTGCATGCTTCAGTTTGAGGACAATCTTTTTCAAGGCAGCGTTCGCATCTGTTTTCTCGTGATACGATGCTCTCGCGATCATTTACTGAAGTCACGACGGTGGCATGAATCGGAATAGTGCACACCGATGGCGCCGCAGAATGTGCAGGGCATAAATCTCTCTTCCCATTTCGTGATCTTTCCATTTCGAGATTTTCTTGAAGGACATGTCGGTTCTTTATAGAGGTCCGCCACGATGTCATCAAGATCTATGATGACTTGCCTGGCGCTCCGTACTTCCCATTCGATTTGGCGCAAGCGTCTTACGTGGGGTGGGTCACCTTCAGCTTCTCCCTCAGGTGCACGTTGTTCATTTTGAGGGTCATTCTGAGGCGCATCTCCGAAGTCTCTCGGATCGCCCTCTTGCGCATCCCCCTCATCTCTTTGGTCATTTTCAGGTGCATTAATGTCCTCTTGAAGGTCCTCTTCTTCAATATTCTTCATCTTCGACGAGTTCTGGAATGGACTCCTCCATCGATTCCGCGTCTGCGCGGTCATCAGGTGCATTGGGATCCTCTTCGTCGCCCTGGTGCACTCCTTCTGCATACTCGGCGTTCTGCTCAATGATCTGCTCTTCCCTGATCTTTTCGCCGACGAGGCCCTCCGCCGCCACAGTAGCTTCTGGATGCTGGCGCATTCTTTTAAAGATGTGCTCCGGCAATTCGTCAATGGCCTCCTGTATACGTTTTATGCCGGTGCATATTTCTTGCTCAAAACGGGCTTTTTCGTCTTGCTCGTCGCACTGGAAGTCTCTCTGCAGCTCTTGCAACAGAGAGTTGTATCCCTGCGATATTGCTAGTTGATCGGCTGCCACCTGCTCGATGTCGTTCAGCTTGACCAGTAAGGTCTTACCGTCGATAGTCTCATGTGGTGCACGGATCAAGCTTCTCCATTCGCTTTCCTTCATTTGGTGCATTGCTATTAGAATTGGTGGCAAGGTGTATAGGGTGCGTAACTGAGTCCGAACGTAGAGGAACCGTAGTCGCAGGTGATCCGCGTGCAATTCCAGGTATTGTGCTTCGTGCCGCCTGGAGGGTAGTGGTTCTCGAGAAAGCCGTAGTGCTCTTAAGCGCTTTTCAAGGGTGACAACAGCTTGCAAACAATCATGAAAATCGTAACAATATCGAATGATCTTATCATGCAGATCTGTCGGTGCAGGCAGTGGTGGAAGCGCCTGCTGAAGTTCACGGAGTTGCTGCTCAGCGGTTGTTCGATCGCCTTCGGTGTCCATGTTCTGTGAGATAAGGGCCCATTTGATGATTACGAATAATTGATAGTCGTGCTGCGCGAAGTTCCGTACCGGGCAAGTGATCGTCCGTTTCGGTCCAGATCCTTGGATGGGACCGATGCACCATATAAGAATTTATATATATGTACATGGATACACAATAATGCTCTTCTTGCCACGCGGTCTGCTCTTGGCCAGTGTGCTATATTCCTCGACACGAATACACGTACGCAAGGCTCACTTTATCTGACAAAATAAGAGAATCAGTAAGGAATAAATGTAGCAAGCAGAATATAAGGAATGAAGGACGTGCGCAAGCTGAAGTCGACGACTGGAACCCATCGTCCCGGAGTCCCTTTGTGCGGCCCATGCAGCTGGCAGTTTCTTCTTTTGTCCCTTCGACTTCTTGCTCCGTCGAAGGAATGCGCACGTGCTCTGACGAGCATCTGAGATTCCAATCGATTAGGCTAATTCAGGCTAACATATACAATGATTAATAATATTACATGTAAAAATCTACCGTGTGATCGCGGTAAAACCGCGATATCGTATCATGATAATGTTATCGTTCTGCAGGGATAGATTATAACATATTTATTTCGTCACAAAGGTTATGCACAATAGAAATTTATTTAGGCTGTTCCTGCTTTGACTTTCTCATGTACTCGGCAAAGTCAATAAAACCATCGCGATTCAAATCTATCGAGTTCAGCGCACCGTCTACTAACCGCTCAACCTTCTCGTCTGTGAGAATTTCGGCTGAAATACTTGATGAGATCAGCAGCCAGTTCCAACGAAAATCAGCTGTGAATTGGTCTGCTTCATTATCGTGATAAACTTACCTAAGTGTCCGTCATGTGAGTGCAGCAGAGATTTCATTATTTCAAGTCCATCCAGTTTCTCGTCACCATTTAGGTCATTCATAAAAGAAGTAGTGGAATCTGCGGATAACATTTGAAAATGTTACATTTTAATTCGAAATATTAGAGCTATCGTAAACTGAACTGTACCAGTAGCATTGCAACACCAAAACACAGCTCACGCTATCTGCCAAAAACCTTGGGTAGTGCGAACCTTCTAAGTGTACTTGTAGAAGGAACCTCTTTCGCGGCTGTTTCGAAGCACGCAACCACTATCCCTCCACCCACGAAAAATATTAGGCTAACTCTTTGAATGGTTGTGTCGCTTAACTTAAAGGAGGATTGCACGGAAAGAACGAAGGTCGAAGAAGGGAGAAATCGCCTAGTGGGGAGAGCGGTGAATCTCTTGAGGGTGCGGACAGACACGCAATCGGCATCGAAAGATTTGACCTCTGAGATCTAGCATGGCTCAAAGTTGGCGAGTTCGGCGATCTCCGCCCACCGATCGTCTGATCACTCGCCGTAGTACAATAGGTGGCGAGTGATTAGATAGCTGAGAGAGCGTAGGGTTGAAGAGGGCAAAGCGATGAGAGTCCCATCAATGCTCAAATCAACGGACAAGGAAGGGGTCCCATTTCTCCGGTTCTGGGCCGTTTTTCGTGGTTTCGCTTTCTTTCTGGTACTACTCACCATCTCTACCTCAATTTGGAATGGGCGCTTTTCCATCGTAAGCATACGTATACGAAGCCATACGAACCCCCCCCTCCGAAATCGCGATCCTGGCAGGCGCCCCCGCTTCTAACAGGCAATTAATCAATATAAAAAATAAGAGTATACGCAAACAAAATCAAAAAATTCGCAAAGTAATGCTATGACGCTTTCCATCCTTGGGTGCGATCTATGCCGTCCTTATGACGTCTACGCTCGCTGCACACTTTTGTGTACATACTGAAATATCGACTCGAGGAAAGAGGCATTAACTTTGTGTGACCTCAAGGCGAGGTTCGTTCAGAAACGCACAGAAATCCTGAAGACACGGGGTTGCGATTCAATCTTGATTCTTGCTTGAGTATATCAAAACAGCCGAGTGTATCAAAGGCCGATTCAACGGCAGCTGCGGCGCGATTGTCACTGGGTCAGATTTGCCGAAATTTCAAAAAAAAAACGTCCGAATCTACACCCTCGATGAAAGGGTTGTGTTCCTCCATTTTACAACCTTTGAAGCAGCTTG